CAGGGAGCCCGATGCGGGGCTCGATCCCAGGACCCTGGGATCATGACCTGAGCCGAAGGCAGACGCTTAACGACCGAGCCACCCAGGCGCCCCTAGATCCTTTTATAATAAACAGGTAACAGGGAGTAAAATGTTCCTCCCAGTTCTGTGCGCCGCTCTAGCAAATTAACAGAACCCAAGGAGGGTGTTGCTGGAACTTCCAGGTCCCCCCACCCCGGCTCAGGTCAGACCCCAGGCTGCCACCTGGGGAGTCCACTGGCAGTTGCAACCTGCAGCAGCCCCTGGGGGCCAGCATTTCCCCATCTTCTAAGCCACTATTGAAAAACGCAGCTTCCTGGTCCCACCCGAGCCTCTCAATCAAAATCGTGAAACCCCTATAGAAACGTAAAGATGGTCGGAAATTAAGATGGACACACTCATGCTTCAGCAAGGCGTGACTTTAAAACAAGTTTCCCTCTTCGTTCTTGAAGCCTCTCCCTCTCCCCCCTTCGCTTGTGTTTCTGTAAAATCCTTCATTCCAGGAGCTCCGTATCGATGCTGATACGTAGTAACAACACTCCGATGGCCAGAGCCAGCTTGAAGACAGGGTGAACACGGCTTGGACCAGATTCCTATCGAATCTGCCCCGATCCTGCGTTTTTCTCTAAGACCCCTCAGCCTTTTTACCCTGGGTGGGCTTGCAGTCTTGGAAGCACTAGCCGGCTGCAGTCTCCTTTGCCTGGCAAAGTAATAAACTATCTTCCTTCTTATACCCAGACTCTGTCTTCAAGCTACCTATTTCGGCACGGGGCACGGCGGTCGGTTTTCAACTATTGGAGGTTCTGGAAATGTTCACTTCCAACAAATCCATGAGCTGAGACAGGAGTCTCAGCTGAACCCTATTCTGCTGGGTTTCCTGAGAACCAGCCCCCCCTTCCCCTCCTTAAGACCTAAGCAGAGTTCCAGATGAATCGGGGACCCTTCCCTCCCCTTGGGCCTTGGGGCAGCACTGGGCTCCTCGTAGTGGCTTGGGTGCCCTAGGGAGGTCCCCATGTGAAGTCAGCCTTGGCTGGACGCTGCAGGAACCTGAAGCAAGGCTGGAAAGTTAGGGGGAGAAAAACTTCACACAGACACGTTACACAAATTGAGGGTTTTATTTACATTATAGGGCAGGAAAAGGATACAAAAGAAGCCTCTTGGTCAAGCGTGTAAAGCCAAAGCTCTAAAACTCAATTCTCAGTAGGGTGTGGACCCGGATATTTAAAAAAAAAAAACAAACAAAAAACCTGAAGACTGAGAAACAGGCAAAAAGGTAATCTGCAACACGGATGCCCTGTCCCCGGGGGAAAATGAGCCCTCAGGGAGTCTGGACAAGGTCATCTTCTGTACACATTAATCTGGCTCCCGGGACAATCCCTGCAAGGTTCTGACTGCTGACATTTCTAGGCTGATTCTTAATCAGACGATTCGAATTTCAGGGCCAAATATACTTGGCCTGATAGTATCTCCAATCTGGGGATGGGATGGGGAAGGTCTTCATCGGACAGGCCTGGGCAGCTCTGGTCCCTTCCAGGGTCACACTTCCATTCCTCCGAGGGGACTCAGCGACTTCTCTGGGGCGGGTCAGCATCCCTGGGCCCGCCGGGGAGCGACATCCTCCAAGCCCATCACAGGCTGCCTCCTCCCGTCACCTGTGGGCCGTGGAGGCCTGGCTCTCCCACTAAACTCTGCTTGGCTTTTTCTTCCATTTCGGTCTCTTTTCCCCGAGTCCCAGTGTGCCCAGGCAAGCTGTCAACCTCTTTCATCATTTGAGTGAAAACAAGACCGTTTGTTTTCTCTTTTCCTCACAAATATTAATGATGCAGAACTGGATCTAAGTTCATCTTCAACATGAGCCTCCAGAATGTCTAGCTACAACTTTCTCCTACGCCGGTTCCTTTTTCTGTCCATCTGTCTGTCTCTGTCTTCCCCAGCCACCTTCTCCACGTTCTGGTGCCACCTGGTTGGCTTGACTGGTGAGGCCTGAGCACTGAGGCCTCCTGTGCTGGGCCTGGGGAGCTGCTCAGGGCAGCAAGCAGGTGTTGCCACCCACCCTACAGACTGATCAGCAACAACTATTTGGGCTTCTGGATATTCTGGCAACAGTCGGAACGGTGGCCTATCTGGGGGTTGGCGGAGGGGTACGCTAAGAGGAGCCTCCTCTTTCTTTCACCTCCCTGGCCAATGATCCAATGGCAGTCCCTGGGTCATCCTGGGCGGAGAGCCCAGGACCCATGCGGCGCTGAGCTCTGAATCCAGGTGAGACCAGCTTGGCAGCCCCGAAGACGAAAGGATGCTACAAAGGCAGCCAGGGAGAGCTCATGAGCCCCAGGGGGATTTTCAGCACCAGCCTTGGCACCCCTAGACCCCCAGCATCCCTGGTCCCTACCCGGAGCTGCAAGCCCAGCCCACCTAAGGTTTCCCAGGGCTGATAAACCAGCCCTGGCTCCCCAACTTCCGCTCCTCCTGTCCACCATCTTTCTACTTCCAGCACACCTGTCTCCTACTTACTGGTTCCTTCTCTAAATCACACACTTTCCTTGCCAGGCGCCGTGTCTCCCTCTCTCCCAAGACAAAGCGCCTCTGGGTGGCCTGGCGCAGTCGGGCGATGGTGCCTGGCAGCTAAGTCAGGAGGCCCGGCCATCGGCCAGCCACAGGCCTGGCCCGGGCCCCACGGAACAGCTCCCTCCAGCACCTCTCCAGCCCACCAGCCTGCCTCTGCACCCCTCCCTCCCACCAGGCCAGCAACACATTCCTGTCCCTGGGCGGGGGTGGCGGGGGTGGGGGGGGTGGGATCACAAGCTTTATCTGCTTTCAACAGTCACACACGTCATCAACAGTTTTCAAAGCATCCCCACCTTCAAAGAGATTTTCCTTCCTTCCTTCTTCTTCTCAAGCCCGTAACTCCACCCCTGGTAACTAAGGGGTGGAGGAAGGAGCTGGGGCGCATGACAAACAGCTCCTCTGCTGGCCCCAGAATCAGGGCAGCCAAGGGCTGTGAGCGCCGTGTCAGCCTGCGACCCTTCCAGAACATAACAAATCGTCAAAACCCCTGTCCCGCCTCGTAATCACCCCTCCGCTACCCACCCAGAGCGTCTGCCAGGTGTCTGCCTCCGGGCCAGACCCCCGGCCACCTGCGCAGGAAACCTTCGGCGTTCGCACACTGAAACCCCAAACCTAACACGGCCGGATTCCCTGCGGGATTGTCCATCGGAGCCACGGGTGTCCTAGAGTCCTGAAAAGCTCAGCGGATGGGCAGGCACGTTCCGTTCATAACATTCATCCAATGCAACAAGGAGAGACATTGACTTCCTCCAAGGATTCTGTGGGTTCAGGTCTGAGATGGTCCCAGAGCGGAGCTTCCATCCGTGCTGGTGTGTCTGCCCCGCAGCTCCCGCTAGCGGACGAACGAGACCACACTGGTGGCTACTCCGAATGGGGCCGAGTAGGCCGCAGCGAAGCCCTGCAGGCCGATGACCACGTAGCGGCATCCCTTGGTGACCACCTTCCCAACATTCTGTTTTTCAGGACAGAAGAGAAAAGCAAAGGGGCGGGTTAGGCAACTCCGTAGTCCCTCACACGCCACGGTGACCTACGTAAAGGACCATTCTGCCGCCTTCTCTCAGGGCAAATCATCTTGCAAAGTACTTTCAAGCACTGCACGTTTCCAGGTAACTCGGACATCCTGATTCAGAGCTCAGCGCCCCATGGGTCCCATGCTGGATGCTCCCCCAGCATGACCCAGGGGCTGCCACTGGGCCACTGGCCAGGGAGGTGAAAGCCAACAGTAGTGAGGCTGCTAGCTCTGAAACCAAACCGGTTTTGTTGTCAAAGTAGGCTCCATGCCCACCAGGGGCTTGAACTCACGGCCCTGAGATCAAGAGTCCCGTACATGCTCTACTGACTGAACCAGCCAGGCGCCCCTGGTTTTACTGTTAAGCCAAAGCCTACTCTTCTCCGTTCCAGCCAAGTCACTGCATCATCTGGAAACTGGGCTAAGGGTTCCTTCCTTCACCTTTATCTGAAAGCCCACCCTGCCGTCCCTCTATCTCCAGCGCAGATTCCTGTCCAGCCCGCACATCCGTCTCCAGAGTCTCCCGCTATTCTCAGACTGCTGCATCCTCCAGTACAATGATTAGCTCCTTGAGGGTAATGACTACACCCTGCTTTCTCGCTATCCACTCCTTTTCTGCAGGGCCTGGTGCTGGACAGGGGACATCCCAGGGATTCAAATGGAATGGCAACAGGAAGCAGAGAGACCCTCCCCCCCACTCATATCGATGGTGCTGCTGCCCACCCCACCCCCCTTCTGCTTCCCACCCCCAACTTTCGTCATCACTCTCAATGATGTCAACATCCATGTGGGTGACTTGGACCCTACCACCCACCTTGTCTCCCAGCCCCCTGACCTTCCCAACTCCAATAAGCACCTAAGATTCCTGGTTTCGCTCAAAACCCCTGATCACAATCACAAAGCTCAGGGCCAGCGCTGCCTGGCAAACCTGGTCTGTCTGTCTGTCTAGCAGGCTGACCTTCCCTCTCTCCCAGATGAAGGGGCTTTCTTGTGCTCCTTGCTGTACTCCCAGCACCCAGAAAGGGCCCGGATCTTTCCTTTGGAACCTCGAAAGCTCCATAAGGAGCCCCGGGAAAGAGCCAGGTAACATCTATGGCTTCTCTAGACACTGACTCCTGGCATTGTGCCCACTGACTTCTCAGTGAGACATTAGGGTTCATGCGTGGGGTGGAGGGTGGCACGAGGTTGCTAAGAGAGACATCTCCTTAAATGTATAGTAAGATTCAGTGGGAGAATTTTACTTCCCTCCCTGAAATAACAGTAACAAAAGACTGTTCTCTGGGAGCAAGTGTAACAGTCCTTTACGGTCCTTTATAAGTAATGCCAACCAGAATCACGGATGGCCTGCATTAAACTTGACATTTCTGGCCCTTGGACATCCACTTTGCTCAGCGTGCTATTTGCAAAAACTGCCCGTCGCTTCATCTTTGCCATTTAGAAAAAAGCTACTAAAATAGCTCATTAGCTGGAATACTGTCAAAACACAGGTTCGAGAGAAGCGATACAAAGAAATGTAAAATATCTATTGATGACCATTTCAGTGTCATTTGAGGGAGGTTTTGTATTCTTTGATGTGGGTCAAGTTTTCAACCCAAATAATCTCTCAGAGAAGCAATGAGGCATGGGGGACCCAGGGGAGCGGGTAGGCTGCAGAATGCCCCCCAGTCCCAAGAACCTGTAAATACGCGGCTTTATAGGGTCAAGGGGATTTTGCAGATGTGCTTAAATTAAGGGTCCTAAGATGGGGGAGATGGTCCTGGATTATCCAGGTGGGGCCAATCATTATAAGGGCCGCTATATATGTATAAGGACCCAAAGGAGGACAACCGTCCTTGTTAAGAGGGACACAGGGGTCATACAGAAGGCAATGTCATGACAGAGAGATCTGTGGACCTCTGCTGCTGGCTGGGATGCGGGAGGATGGGGACCTCTGGAAGCTGGAAAGAGCATCGAAACTGGTTTTTCCCTGGGGCCTCCAGGGGAACCAGCCTGCGGACCTTAGCACAGTGACACTGATTTCGGATTTCGGATTTCTGGCCTCCAGACCCGTACAGCTGGTGTTGGTCCTAAACCACTGCGTTGGTGGTGATCTATTACAGCTGTGCAAGGATGGCACTTTCTGGGGGTTCTCTGGATTCAACTAACCCCCAGGGAAGTCAGGGATTCCCTGCCCCCTCCAGTTTCAAAAAAAAAAAAAAAAACAACCCAAACAAACAAAAACCCGGCTGCCAACAAAGATCACTTTCCCCTGAATATGAAGATCAAGTCTTCAGTTTTGAAATGTGGTGAGGACCAAGGCACAACGCTGAGCCGGGCGATCAGCTACAGGAGGTTACTGAGTTCTGATTAAAAACGAATCAGAAAGTCAACAGTCCTACGGGGGTCTCTCCTTCAGCCCGAGCCAGCAGCCAACAGTCACAAAAGCCTTGCCACCTGCCAGATGAGCTCGGAGATCTCTGCGGGGAGGGCATTTACTCTTGCCCATAACCCTCGACTTACCCCTTGTCACTCATAAGGAAACTGAGGCGAAGCGGTGGGCCCAGCCCAAGGTCACCAAACCAACAAGGCACAGGGCGGGGCTTGAGCCTGGCAGCCTTGAGCCTTTCTTACCTGCTGCCACCTCCAGCAGGAGGACAGTTTTTCTCCCTCTTGAGCTAAAGGCTCCTCCACACATTGTATTTCCCCCTCCGACCCTCTCCCAGCTGCCTGATGGACAAAACGTATGTACTTTCCTCATCCACACCCCTCCTGCGGCTCTCAGGGGTGCCTGGGGAAGGTGACCTCTCATCTTAAGTTTTGGGGGTTAGTCCCCTCAACCCAACTGCCAGGTGAGACTCCTGCCTCCCAGCCTGGCTACCCTCCAGCTGTGAGGCCTCGAACAGCGCACCTTCCTTAAACTCCAGCTTCCATAGCTGCACCCTGGGGGGCGGGGGGGGGCACTTTCCAAGGTTCTGGGCGTGACTCAGGGGTCTCACCCATGAAATGCGCAGCAGAGCTCTTGGCATGCTGCAGCAGAACAACAAATGTCTGTTCCTTCCCCTCCCCTGGACCCAGAAAATGGCCCTTTCCGAACAATGAAAGCACCACGTGAGCACGAGCGTCATTACTTAAAAATGACCAGGGAACGCTGCTGGGCAAGAGTCCAGGCACGCAGCCCCTGAGCCCTGAGCCTCCTTCGAGAGGCTGGACCAGCTGGACACTGGGGTCCACGCCTGGCCGGGACCCCAGGGCAGCAGGAGAGAAGAAACCCTTTCACATGTCACAAAGGCCCAATGCTTCTCTTTAAACAGAAGCAGGGAGTCGGGTGCAGGGCTGGAGCGGTGAACAGATGATTAGGAACTGCCAAGCCCCCTTCCTTGAAGGAAAAGCCATCCATTAACAATGTGGTACGTCCGGGGGCGCCTGGGTGGCTCAGTCGGTTAAGCGTCTGCCTTCGCTCAGGTCATGATCCCAGGGTCCTGGGATCGAGCCCCGCATCGGGCTCCCTGCTCAGCGGGGGGCCTGCCTCTCCCACTCCTCCTGCTTATGTTCCCTCTCTCGCTGTGTCTCTCTCTGTCAAATAAATAAATAAATAAAAATCTTATAAAACAACAACAACGTGGCGCGTCTGCAGGTCCCTCCTTATTCGACTGGGCCCAGGAAAGGGAAAGACTCAATGGTGGCTAAAGCCTGGAGACTTACCTCCCCACACCTCTAGCGGAGGCTTGCCTGTTGCCGTAGATTTTCAGCAAAGAGGGGTGGGCTCTTCTCTTCCTCCATGTTGGGACCTAACTGGTTACCTTCCCAGACACCTCCAAGAAGGTGGGAAGTTGAAGGCAGAGAGGGCGCATCCAACCCTAATTGGACAGTGTCCTCTCATACGGCTTCCGGTGTCTACTGAACTAGGGTGAGACATGACCGAGCTTCCGCTGCCATAAAAATTAACCATTTTAAAGTGAAAAATTTCGTAGCATCTAGTACATTGGCAGTGTCGTGCGACCAGCATCTCTACCTACTTCCAAAACATCTTTACCATCACCAAAAGAAGAGCTGCACCTGTTACACACTTGCCCCCCCCCCATTTTTCCTTCTCCCCAGTCCCTGGCAACCACCCATCTGCTTCCCTCTCTCTGCATTTACCTATTTGGGACATTCTATAGAAACGGAATCATACACGCATACAGTATGTGATCCTGTGTGTCTGGTTTTTTCCACTTAGCATAATGTTTTCGAGGTTCATCTGAGACAGGGAAACTAAAGGGACCTCACGAAAAACTTCTTTTTTCCTTCTTTTTCCTGCTTCTATTTTGGCCAGACCTACACTGTCGCCCTTGACACACCTTATAGAACAGATAATGTATGTTCTCCATGTAAAGGTCAAGGATTTAATAATTGCTTTGGAGTCTCCCAGCACAACAGGTAACATCTAAGGAGTGACCAGGCAGGGTGGTTCCAAGACCGCTGACTGACTCATCAAGATCCCTGGCTCCTGGGCCTAAATGACTTACGGACACCTCAACACTCGTCTTTGTTCCTAGATGCCTGAGAAGACACTTGCACCAGCCCATTATCCTCAGTAAAAACGCCAAGTCTCAGTAAAAACCCCATGCCAAGACGAGACTCACTTTTCTTTCCAAGTCTCCAAGACACTCTGTACCTATATTCTCTGTGTCTTCAATAAACTCTGCTCTCACTTCCTCTTGGCTCGAGTTCTGAGTGCCATCCTGCATGGAGCCAAGGACCCTCCTCGGACCCAGCCAGCCTCCATCATACCCACGTTGTGGCCCGTCATGGTACTCCATTCCTTTTTATGACTGACTAATATTTCACCATATGTATATACCACATTTTATCATTTATCAGTTGTTTCCACCTTTTGGCTATTTTGAATAATGCTGCAACGAACATGTGAATATGTTCTCTCGCTCAAATATATATATATGTATATTTCAGTACTTATTTTCAATTATTTTGGGTATATACCTAGGAGCTGAATTGCTGAATCATATGGTAGTTCTATGCTTAATTTTTGGAAGAACCTTCAAACTTTGTACCACAGTAATCGCACCATTTTACATTTCCATTAGCAATTTGCAGAATTCCAATTTCTCCACATCCTTGCCAACATTTGCTATTTTTTGTTTTTTTTTTTTTTGGTTCTTTTTTTTTTAAATAATAGCCATCCTAGTGAGTGGGAGGTAGTAACTCGTCGTTAACCTGTGAGACCTCAATCTTCTCTGCCAGGTTCTCAGGTCACCATTGATTTCAAACTGTCCCTGACTTTACAGCCTCATCCCTGAGGGCTCTGTACCATGAGGCTCCATGGTGGCGCCCCGACTCTGCCAGGATCTCCCTGGGAGGCACGGACTTCACCAGGGCAGGACTGCACTGTATCTGGTTTCTGATCTCTAGTGGTTAGCACAATCCCTGCACGAAATGAGCACCCAAAACCATCTTCAGGTGCCTGCCCGACCTGAGAGGTACAGCATCCGTTCGCCCGCTGAGAGGCCAGTGGTGGTTTCTTTGTGCTCAACTGAGACCAGGAAGCAGGTGATCAGTTCTAGCAGGACTCTGAGCCTGAGAGTCCCGACCTCAGAGTTTTTGTTTTGTTTTGTTTTTTTAAAGATTTTATTTATTTATTCATTAGAGACAGAGAGAGAGAGAG